TCTCTCAGAGTGTTAAGATGTTAAGGGAGGCGGAAATGAAGGCTTAAAGTCCTTTAAATATGATACAAACCCTGAAAATTAGGGTTCTCACACTCAGCTCCTACTCGTCGAGTTGGGGTCTTCCAACTCGTCGAGTAGACTCTAGAAACTACGCGACCATTAACACTCTCTACTTGGCGAGTTGGGGCCTCCAACTCGTCAAGTTGATAAGACAACAAGAATATAAATTAATTAAATATTATACCTGGGAGTTGGGATATTACACCTACTGTAAGGAAACAAGGGTCAAGTAAGACTTGAGCCAAGGTATCAGTGGTTAAATCATGTGGGATTCGTATTTTGTTGTTAACAAAACTATGGATAATGCCATTAGTGTATGGGTTCGAAATAAGGTTTGAGTCATGGTTAGGTAATAGGAACATCCGAGTGTTGGAACCGTAGCTCGTAGGTATACCAAATTAATATTTTAATAGTTTATGATGGATAGCTTGTTGACATTTTTTTTACAATTAGAGTTAACATTCTTCATGGTTTTCAGTATATAATATCAAGTTGATTTTTTTACCTATGTTGAGTTTTTTAAGCTTAATGGTTCATTCTTCATGGTTTTCAAGCCCTACTGTAAGGAAACAAGGGTCATGTAAGACTTGAGCCAAGGTATCAGTGGTTAAACCATGTGGGATTCGTATTTTGTTGTGAACAACACTATGGACGATGCGAATACTGTATGGGTTCGAAATAGGATTCAAGTCATGGTTAGGTTATAGGAACATCCAAGTGTTGGAACCACGGTTTAAGTCATGGTTAGGTAATAGGGACATCCACGTAATCAACAAGGATTTTCTCCATTCTTTATTTGGAGATTGAAAGATGATCATAGAGTTGTGAATGGATAATTTTGAAAAATCGATGGAGTTAACGATGCTTGTGAGTGAGATTTTTGTTGTTGGGTTTGACGACACCGATAAAAACACACAGTGAGCCTAGAAGAGCATGAGAAAGAATAATGGAATAGTACATATTAAATTAGACCATATAATATATATTAGTTTAAAGGTAATCTTCAGAAAAATCCAAATATTTTAGTTTATTAGTAATAAATAATGAAAAAGCCCTAAAATTTTGATTAATTAATGAAAAAGCCCCAAAATTTGGATTAATTAATGAAAAAAGACGAGATACCGGCTAAATCTGTGAAACCGGTCACGAAGGGTTATTTCGAAGTTTTAGCCGGTAATCTGCCCTTTTTTGTAAACAAAATTTAACTTTGGACTAAATCGTAAACTGACCTAAAATATTGAGACTTTTTCGCAGATTTCCCAATCTTTTGTTATCATAATCAAATTTGTTATTTTCAGGAAAAACCTTAGTTTAGAACTTATATTATACTCTTAAAACTTGTACTTTGATTTGGAGTTAGTTTGTTTTTTTGTTTTCTTATCTCACATTGGAAAAGGAAGCAAATGATCCCCTTAGAAAACAAAACACATTTGCAAATATATATATATATATATATATATATATATATATATATATATATATATATATATATATATATATATATATATATATATATATATAGGTTCATGTGAGACAACTTAATTTTGTGAGACCGTGAAACCACTTTTTTCTAATGAAATATTTTAATATTCTAGTATTCATCAAAATTAAATATGTATAATATTCTAATAATCACATTTGCAAATTAATATATATATATATATATATATATATATATATATATATATATATATATATATATATATATATATATATATATATATATATATATAGTTAGTTAGTTAGTTAGTTAGTTAGTTAGATTCATGTGAGATAACTTAATTTTGTGAGACCGTAAAACCACTTTTTTCTAATGAAATATTTTAATATCCTAGTATTCATCAAAATTAAATTTATATAATATTCTAATAATCTACAACAATAACTTTAACATATTTTATATTAGAATATTCTAAAATAAATAAATATATAAATAATATTAGAAAAATTGCATATTCTATTTTTACGAACAATAGAATATTAGAATATTTCAATAAGATTAATTGGTCTTATTGTCTCACAAAATTATGTTCGTCTCAAATGAACTCTTATATATATATATATATTAACATTTTAAAACAACTTACAATAGAAAATGCTAAAGTTTATGGATGCAACAATTATTTTATAAAAATGTCTAAAACGTTATACGAAATGTATCGATGTCATGATAAAGAAAAGGTTAAATGAATTATGAAAGTGTCTTGTTATGGTAACAATTGTACATGGTAATAAGATAGACATGAAATGTGTGGTAAAAAATAGTAGTGGTGAATGGTGATTGCGATGGTTCGGTGTCGAGTGAAATTGTGAAGGCATGCTACGGTCAAACTTAACGTTACAAACTTACAATATACAACTTTGACTTGTGTCGGTTGCTCGGTTGCTCCCACTATAATTAATAATTTATTGTCACTCCTCGTACTATCACTGTTCATCCACTACAATAAACTCCCATAATGGCCAACACCAACCATCTCTCTCTCTCTCTCTCTCTCTCTCTCTCTCTCTCTCTCTCTCTCTCTCTCTCTCTCTCTCTCTCTCTCTCTCTCTCTCTCTCTCTCAACATAATTTATGTTATAATTATGATGAATCCAAGCTTGGATGTTACAATTATGAAAATTTTCAAAATAGGTCTATTGTCACGTGTTTTACAGGTATCTTATTAAGACATCGATTTAAATACCATAGATATCTTTATCAAAATTCAATATATATATATATATATATATATATATAATCATTTTTTTTTTCAGAAAACAATGTAATTCACTTTTTTTAATTAGTTTGACTCAAAAATAAATATTTCTTCCGTCCCAAAATTATTATCTACAGACAAAAAAAATACAGATTAAGACAAAAAAAATACTTATTGTGACTCTGAGTGGCTTGGATGCCCTTATACACAACGCTCCAGAACTCGATACATTCTTCTTCTTGGTGGGCCCCCATCTCTTGGAAAACAAAGAAACATTATGTCGTTTCTCATTCGTCTATTGAAGCAGAGTATCGTCCCATGGCTTCCATTGTTAGTGAAGTTCTCTAGGTCAAATGGCTTCTTCAAGAACTCAACATTGCTTGCGCTGGACCGACCCCACTATTTTGTGATAATTAGACTGCTCGTCACATTGCAAATAACCATGTTTTTCATAAACGGACCAAACACATTGAACTGGATTGTTTTTTTTTTGTTTGTGAATGTGTCGACTCCAAAGAGATTCATCCGTGCCACATTGACTCCAACATGTAGATTGCTGATCTTTTTACAAAAGGGTTAGGAGATCAACAACTTTGTTTCTTACTTGATAAGTTGGGCTCTCATGATCTCTATGCTCCAACTTGAGGGTGAGTATTGGATTTTACACATTAATTTATTATTATTTCCGTACCTTGTGGCTTGAGTTTAGGACATTCTGTTTTTATCTCTTTGCTTGCATTTAACCCATTTTGTTTCCATAGTTGAATCTTCTAGGCAATGTGTTTAGTTTTTAGAAACCATGAATTATGGTTACACGTATTTTAATGTATCAAAAGATTGCATAATGCAAAGTCATGGCATGATAGTAGGAATGAGTGTAAATTGATCAAACCATGCGACCATGCAAAGTAATCACACAAACCGTGTACTCCTTGACCAACACACACGACTTTGTAAGATACACAACTTTGCAGGAAAGAAGACACGGTTGTCTACCTCCTGACATAAAAACAAAAAGTACTATCTCAACTTTCATGACTTTGCATAGGAATTACCATTGATGCTTATGTGTGTACTATGAGTAACTTTGTTGACCATCTCATTAAAAAAGTCAAGTCATGGGGAAATATTTATTTCACTCTATTATTAGTTTTGAAACGTTATTGTGAAGTCAAGCGAATATATATAAGGCTAGGAGACGGATTCCATCGGTATTTAGTAAGTATTTTTTTTATAAGTTTGTCACTCCAAATTGAAGATATAAACTCCTATTCTTTATCTTTTGACCATCCATGTTAAGTTAGAGTTAGTGTTTGGCGGTTTAGATGTTTAGATGATAATATTATGTGAGAAATGTTGTGTGTAAGTGATTTAATCAACATTTTAAAGAACAATTTCAACTTTATTAAACAAAATCAAAGGATTTATCCATGGGGTTCATGTATATATACTAATTGAGAACCAAATAAGAACAGATACATGGCTAAAGAATATATATTTTAAATATTCTATTTTAGTCCCAACAATGACAGCTTAACGATTGGGACATATAATTCCATAAAAAAAATTCAGAAGTTTCAAACTTTGCTAAAGAATGTATTTTTTTAAATATTGTAAATGCTTTGTGATCTACCCACCACAGTTCTATAACAAGTTGTTTATATAGGATGCAATTTACCCGTTTTTATAGTTAATATATAAATATGTAATTCATCTGTTTTTTCATAATTCATTATACAATTTACTATATTTTCTGTAAAATCATTGAATATTCCAACTTTTATATTCTATATTTTGAATAAATGCATTAGATTTTTTTTTTTTTTTTTGAATTCCACATTAATGATTAACAATTATATGTATTAATTAACTTATTTTTCAAGTTATTATTCCCTTTTCAAACAAAAAGTATTCTTCTCCATTATAAAAAATGTTGCACTTATTTCTTGGTATTAGCAGTGTACAGTGTACTCATTTACCAATTATTATAATATACTATAATATATAATAAAATATTTAAATCTACAGTTATTTGTTTTATACCATTAAAAACATTCCAACTATAAACCTCAGCTTTTCAAATAAAAAAAAAACTATATATTATTAAATGATGCCAAAATTGGTATAAACATTTTAAATGTTGGAGGTTGGATCGGATAAGTTTGTTAAAAAATGGATGTATTCTAATAAATTCCATCAAATATTTAATGCTAAAATTTTCCATTTGATGACACGTAAATCATATCAAACGGTGGCTTTTTTCATCTCCTGATCTTTCAAGAAAACGACACACGCACTCTCTCTCACACACACACTGCAAATCAATTCGTTGCAGCTACTCTATTGTACCATGTGAATGTGTGAGAGAAAGATTGGTTCTGCCATGTGAGATGATTTAAAGCTTCAACTCATGGACCCAATAACACATCTCTCTTCATTTACATCTCACTTATTATGATCTGAGGTTCTGGTTTTTGCCCCAATACTCAAAAGGGTTTCGCTTCTTCTTCTTCCTCCTCCTCTTCTTGTTCTTGATTTACAGCACCACCGCTTTCCGGCTTTTTACGGCGGCAGGATGAAGCTCCACAACTCCCGTCGACGCTTCCGGTCACTTTGTGGCCTGTTAGTGATTCTTTTGCCTGCCTTGTTCGCTTCTCTTTTCGCTCAATTTGGTTACGCTTCGCCTTCGGTTCTTTCGGTGAGATTCTTTTTCGCAATTTTAATCGAACATTGTTGTTTAGATTTAGTTTCTTGTGTGTAAAGTGCATTATCAGGTGGGGTGTTTTCTAGATTTTTATTTTTTCTGTCAATAAAGTTTAGCTGGTTTTGGTAAAGAGAAATTTCTCCATGATTGTGAAATAAAAGATCGATCTTTTGTTCTCTTGCTAACATTTGTTTTTATTTTATTGTTACTTTTGGCCTTTGGGTGTGATTCCTTTCTTGAAATAACATAATTACACTTTGTGAAGATTCATATAAACTAGATTCCTCTGAATTAAACATTTAAAAGATGTCTAATAGATGAAATGGGGAATGCATGTTTGAATCAATCATGCAAATGGAACCGAAATATCTTGACCTATTTGTGTCTTTTAATCTAATAAAGAAAGATGAAGTCTTTTTGAGATTGAGGAAGTCGAAATTCAAAGTTTATGGTTTTGAGGCAAATAAAGGCATCTACACAACCAAATGTTCCATGATTGAAAATATAATAACTTTCTAATCTTTTCATGCAATTGTGTACTTGTAGATTCATTTGCTCTTAATGTAATACTATCATCGATAAATAAAAGCATGAGCAAATGAATAATCCTTTTGGGGCTTCTAGTAGATTATCATGTGGTAAAATTTCTATCCCTTCATTGTGGATTATCATTAGTGTTTCCAACTATCTCATGCTTCTTTAAACACTTTTATGTAGGATTCAAGTGTTCCAAAGTTGAGGCACTCACGTTTACTCAAGAGTGCATTACAACACCAAACTGTAAGTCCATTAAGTCGTTCTTACTAGATTAAGTCATGTCCCCATTAAGTCATTATTTTATATTCACTTTCTTTGTTTTTTGTATAGTTGAATGAACAACAATCGGATCTTTGGACCCCTTTAGCTAACCAAGGATGGAAACCTTGTATCAATTCTACTTCCTCTTCTTGTAAGTAATGTAAATTTATAACTTTTTTTAAATGTTCAAATAACATTCTAATGGTTTCATGTCTAATTTAAAGCATCGATACCGGAATCTTCCGGATACATCCAAGTATTCCTTGATGGTGGATTAAACCAACAAAGGATGGGGGTACGTTACATAAATATCAAACCAAAAAATCCATAAAAGATAATTTTTTTTATAGACTATTAATTTTTCTATTATTTCTTTGATTAGATTTGTGATGCAGTTGCTGTGGCCAAAATACTCAATGCCACTCTTGTAATCCCATATCTTGAAGTGAATCCCGTTTGGAAAGACACAAGGTTCTTACTTTTTACAATTTACATTTTCGTACTTAATAATATTATAATCTTTAATCTAATTCATATGCTTATTTGCAGTTCTTTCGAGGATATTTTTGATGTGGATCACTTTATGAATGTATTAAAGAATGATATATCAATAGTTAGGGAATTGCCTGATGAATACACATGGAGCACAAGGGAATATTACGCTTCTGCCATTAGATCCACACGAGTTAAAAACGCACCCCTTCATGCTTCTGCAAATTGGTATCTTGAAAACGTATCTCCAGTGTTAGAAAGGTTCGAATACATACATATCTTTTAATACATTCTACTTCGACACTAGTTATAAAAAACATTCGATTTTCCATATCATCTAAAACCCTAATTTCACCTTTTTTTTAGCTATGGAATTGCTGCAATTTCCCCGTTTTCCCATCGGCTAGCTTTCAACAACATGTCCATTGACATCCAACGGTTGAGATGCAAAGTCAACTTTCAAGCATTGACTTTTGTTCCTCACGTTAGAAATCTTGGAGATACGCTAGTTAATCGACTTCGGTACCCTAACCACCTTCAACAAGTAGACACAAAGGGCAAAAAAGGAATAGGAAAGTTCGTTGCTTTACACCTTCGGTTTGACAAGGTACATAATACATTGACCCTAAAAAGTCAAACTCGAAGTACATTTGCCATTTTTGGTTATAATTTTGGAGTTTTAGGATATGGCGGCCCACTCTGCGTGTGACTTTGGCGGAGGAAAGGCGGAGAAGGTGGCTCTGGCTAGATACCGGAAGGCGATTTGGCAAGGACGTGTGTTGAATTCTCGATTTACAGATGAGGAATTGAGGAATCAAGGTCGTTGCCCTTTGACACCTGAAGAAATTGGTTTGTTGTTGGTGGCTTTAGGGTTCGATAACAATACGCGCTTATACCTAGCTTCCCACAAGGTATATGGCGGTGAAGGGCGGATCTCCGCCTTACGGAAGCTATTTCCACAAATCGAAGACAAAAAGAGCCTCGCCACGTCAGCAGAAAGGGCGCAAATTACAGGGAAAGCTTCTTTATCGGCTGCGGTTGATTACTATGTCAGCATGCATAGTGACATTTTTGTTTCGGCTTCTCCTGGAAATATGCACAATGCAATGGTAGAGAAAAAAAACATTTCGGGACTAAAATTGCAAAAATTAGATATACCCAGGGACGAAAAATGTAACTTACTCTAAATCTTGAATTTTGACAGGTGGGACATCGGGCATACCTGAATTTGAAGACGATAAGGCCAAATATGGCGTTATTGGGGCAGATTTTTATGAATAAGAGCATGAGTTGGGTGGATTTTCAGGAAGCGGTGGTGGAAGGACAAAAAAACCGGTTAGGGGAGATTAAGGTAAGGAAAGAGAAACAGTCGATTTACACGTATCCTGTTCCTGATTGTGTGTGTATCAACAAGGTTGAAAATGATGAGTGACATCATCGTTTCATTTGTGTTGTGTAGTTTGTAATGACTGAAATAAGTTGGTGGTTGTTGTTTGATGTGATTGTGAAGTATGTTGTAGTTGTAGAAAGTAGTGTCTAAGTGTGTCATTGTTGTTGTAGGTATTATTACAAGGATGGATGATAATATATGATTATAATGAGTAGTGTATTGCATTTGTATATTGTTTGATCATGTTAGAGAGATTGGAGTTGTTTATAGTTACAATTTGATAAAGGTATATGCGATATTTTGTGATGAATAAAATGAGGTGGAGAAAAATGTTAGAAAAATGGGAATTGTAGACAAATAATCAGTTACATGATCTTTTTGAATGTGAGGTGATATTTACATTTATGTTTTTTATTCATATATTTTGAAAGTAATATATTGACTTCTATACCCTTCATTTCAAATGAAGATAGGGAATCTAATGAGGGTATAAATGTCAAAACATCTTTTATTTTAAATGGATAGATAAAAACATAAGTGGAAATATCAAATCCCTAAATGAATAGAGTAAATAAGATGATCATGTGAAATTGAGTCTTGAATAAGGCAAATCTAATTTAAAAGCATCTTTTAAATTAACCTTATTTCTTTTCCAAAATACCCCTAAATATAGGTTTTATTTTTTATATAATAAATATTTTATCAGCTTTCCAACGGTAAAAAAATCAATATAGAAACAAGCCAAAAAAGCATAAGTGGAAAGAAAATCAAAAAAGGGAAAAGAGAACAACGGTCACTAAATGCAAATGAAAAGGGAAGTAAATTAAGATAATAATATAATAAGCGATGAGTAAAGAAAAGCTTTGTAGTCTATAAAGGCTTTCTTGTCTTGTCTTTATCTTTCTTTCAATGCTTTTCGCTTTTCACTACAAAAATAAAAGTTAGCTAATTATTAAAATGTTTGTATGTTTGTGATTGTCCATTATATTATTATATGTTTGCTTGCACATATGCTAAAGGCTTAAAGCCACGTAGTTCCTACCTTAACATAAGACTATATTCATGGTGGTTACGGATATTAGGCTGGAGTGAGTGGTGCCACCGAAACTACATTCCATTCGTTGTCACGTAAGCGTTACGTCATTTTTACCACAAAAGTGCGGTTCTTGCCACATCCAAGAAGTGGTGCCACACTTTATTTAAAATTTTTTTAATAGAAACTTTAATTTCTCCCCATCCAATCACAAAACAGTCAAATTATCTACACCCAATCACAATTCGCAGCCATTTTTTGCCACACTGCGGTTTGAACCGCACCAAACCGCACCCAGGGGGCGGCGGTGTTCGCTGCTTATGTGGCGAAACCGCACTCCCTGGAACCGCACCACACCCTCCAGCCTTAGAGATAAGGATGTTTTTTTGAATGTTTAATTATCAAATGAATCCAAATTAATTTTTGTATCTCTAAATAAAACCAATTTGAAATCTAAAATAATTTGGTTTTGTCAAAACCAATCCAAATACTTTAATCAAATAGTTCAATCAAAATTACCCATTTTTTTTACAAAATTTGAGTTATAAACATATAGGTCAATACATATCGATGGAATGCAAACAGGCAAACAAGTTGCGCCGCTAGCCCTTTCTGGATGGTAAAACTAATTCTTTTGAAAACATTTGTGGATCTAGGAGATATGACATTAGAATGCATGATTCATTAGACTCTATTGTACTCTGTTGAAGAGCTACACTGCCTCTGGTGCGAGAAAACAAAATATATCAAATGCAAAAGGTACAAACACATGTTGATTTTCTATACATGCATTCTCGTGCTTGACCACTTTGCACGCAACGGCTTTCAAATCGGCATGCCCTGTTGTGAAACCCCCACTCCTCAAACCGACGAGAGGAGATATCCTAGTAATATCCACACACGCGTGCTTCCCTCCTACCCATCCAAAGACCAAAATATCAGCCGGTCTAAGTGTGGATCTTCCATCCAGTTGGTCCGTCAAAAAGTTCATTGATGCTTTTTTCTTCTCAGAAATACCAGCACGCCGACAAGCATCAAAGAGAACATCCATAACCACATCATGTATGTACTTGAAACCATGAAGCTCTCTACAATGAACCGCATGTTCCCCAAAGGTATCCAAACATGCCTTGTGGCAAACTGGGCATATCTCGTCAATTGTGAATAAAAGAATCATGAGGCAGTAACGAAGGATAGTTCGGTACTCCACAGAAGACATATACTGACCAAGGCCATCAATAGGGATAGTTAGAAGAAAATCCTGAGCTTGAGGTGCCCGAAGACACTAAATAACTGCTTTCTATCTAACAGTCATGTCAAAGTCGACTTCCATATCTTTGACGATTTTGATAAAAAGGGCACACGTCAATACTTTTTAGGATTTAGGGGGCGGCGTCCTTATTAGTGAAACTGTTACAGTCAAATCCCGGAATTCTATCGCGGAGACAAGTCGTAGCATATAGGTAATCAGAGTTCATACCACATATGCCACTATCACATAAGATGTGGTTTTGTAATGCTCAAGATTGAGCCCTCGAGGCTATAAATGCGTAGGAGGAAACCTTATACGCCAAGTACAAACTCAAACCGCCGAAACGAATAGGTAAAGAAGCCAGACGCCACTGAATGTCTCCAAATAAGGGGCCTCCACATACCACCATATCCTCGATAGACTTGTGCAATCATTTGTCAAAGAACAAAGTTGTCTCTTCTATGTGCACCGACTGGCATGTCCTTAAACTAAAGAAAAGTTTTCCAATGCCCAAACATGATCGAAGCAAAATGAGCTCACTATAACACCCATAAAATTTAATCCAAATTTAAACTTTCCATAAAACATTTAAAAACCAATAGTTACTACAAGTTTGTTTCCAAAATAGTCTTTATCGGAGTTTACCAGAATACATATCAAAATGTGAGGAGCGGTATGATCATGCCTTTGCCTTGTCTCGATCCCCTGATGTACCTGAAACAATAAACTGAAACTGTAAGCCCGAGAGCTTAGTGAGTTCCCCCAAAATACCCATACTTACAAATATACATATTATCATAAACACAATATACAGTGGGTCCAGTCAACCATCGAGTTGGAATACCCCAGGCCCTCAACCAGCAGGTTGGAATGCCAACACATTGTGGGTCCAATCATCCTCGGGATGGAATACCCCAGGCCCTCAACCAATAGGTTGGAATGCCCCGGTCTGTTGGCCTCCGCACAAAGAAGATAAACCTCAACCACCAAACAAACATGTGAACATATAACAGATAATCACATAGCAGTCTACAGACAAAACTGATCTAACAGATCATACCACATAGCTCATCATATCATCCTATCTACCAGGATACCGATTTAACAATTCATACTACGTATCATATAACATTATCCTACCCTCTAGGATACCGATCTAACAGATCATACTAGCATAACATAACCAAATACATTCCAAAGGGCAAACCTTGGTGCCTTAGACCCTTGAGTATAGTAAGGCTAACTCACCTTGCAATGTCAGCTCACAAGAATAAACTCTAACTCTCGGATCACTAACACGAACACCACCACCTATATTTATTACGAACCATACTCGTAAATCTCCAATCTTCCCAAAACTATCCTCAAAAGTCAATGGGTCAACTCATGGTCAAAGTCAAAGTCAAAGTCTTCAGTCAAGATCAACAGTCCATGTTGAACTTAACTCGTCGAGTACCCTCACCTGCTCGCAGAGTTTCTTTAATACTCGCCCACTCGCCGAGTCACTAGAGTGTCTAGTCGAGCTCCTAATGTAACGCCCGCAGATCCGGGCTAGTCAATTTAGAGGCAATAGGGGTGGAAAACGACTTTTCTACAAAAAGATTATTTAGAATAAATAATCTTAACCAAGTTGTAGAATATGTCACAAGGTTTCCGTACATATAAATAACGCCGAAATCCGAGTTATAACGAAGAAGTTATGACCCGTCGAAGTTTCGCGTCGGAACCGACACGGCGCCGGGAAGCGTAAATAGTAAATTTATGATAGAGAGAGATTTAGCCTTAGCGCTCTAAATTAAAGTCGTAGAATATGTTAAACTAAGAACATCGATAAAAAGAACGCCCAAATCTGACTTCGTATGAAGAAGTTATGATTTTTCGAAGTTTCGGATTAGCGGTGTACAACCCAAAATTCGAATTTTAGATCGATTGATTTTTAGCCGACACAACCTAAACAAGAATCGAAGATCTCGTTATTAGTATGTAACGATAAAAATACAGACGAAAATGGACATCGGATAAAGAAGTTATGAGATTTTAACGGACCAATCCTGTCCCGCCTGTTAAAAAATAACTTTAAAATAAAGTCAAAATTAGCCGACGGAGTCTAAACGAAAGTTGTAGAGTACGTCTCACCTACACGTGGATATAAAGAACGTCAAAAACGGAGTTCGTATGAACGAGTTACAAATTATAATAGCATATTTACGTATTAAAATAAAGTATAAATCATGTATACGTACACATATATATACATATGTATATATCATTAGAAAGGTATCGACGATGCGGTCATTATAAGACTAATGTTGAGTTCTTTCGACATTAGTTTAGTACAAATATCATTAAATCCATTTAAAATAGTATTATAGAGGGGTGTTTAGTTGTTTATATAACTAAAAGGTCATTAAGTAATTATGGAGGGTAGTTTTTGAAAATTCAATTAGTATAAATAAGAGCCTTGGGCTCTCATATTTCTTGCACCATTCTCTTGATTCAAGAGTCTTTCTCTCCTTATCCCCCGAGCATTTCGGTCCTCGTGATTCGACTTCTCTTTCTGTAGTTTTAGTATAGTAAGGTGAGCGCTGAAGCGCTGCACGAATCTTTCTTAGAAAGATTCAGCGACGAAGTTCTGCCCCTGCAGAGCCCGACTCCTAGCTAAATCCCCTTGAAAGTAAGTTATGCTTAACCTATTTTAAAATATAGTTTATTTTAAAATTAGTATTGTTATTATAAATTTATAATAAATATTTGAGCTATTATT